CCCTCTCCCCCATCGAAATCCCCATTCCAGCCCCCCCTCCTCCCCCGTCCCCTGGCGCGCGCCGTTCCTCGTCACGCAAGGAACAGCGCCCCCAGGGAGTGACGAGTCCGAGGTTGCGTCCGCCCGCGAGCCGGCACTCACAGGTCAAAGTAGTCCAGGTGCTGCTGCAGGGGGGTGCGGCCCCTGGGGGTGGCGTAGTGGCCCTCGGGGCGCTCGCGGCTGGGCACCAAATCCGCACGCGGCGTGCCTGCAGAGGGCCGGGTTTGCATTGTGGCGTGCGGGGCGGGATTCGGGGGCCGCAGCGGGGGTTGCGGGGGTGACAAGGCAGGGGCGCGGGCCGCCCGAGGGCACGGGGGCGTCTCTGCGTCCGGCCACGGCCATGAGTGGCCCGGCGCGCGGCGGTCGGCGAGAGGTGGGCGGGGCGGCCGAGGGGGTGGGTGTGTGTGGGTGCGGGCCGCGCCTGCGAGCCAGTGATGCTCCACATCCTCGTGAGTCAGCACGCCGGCCGGCGCCGCGCACGCGTCCGCGGGGCCGGCGGGGGCGCCCGGCTCCCCTAGCAACAGCAGTGTGTCGACACAGGCGCGCAGCAAGCGGAGGGCGGGCGGGCGCGCGGCGGGGGCCATGCGATGAGGCCGGGGGCCGGCGGTGTGGCGGGCGCTGTGGCGGGCGCTGTATGGGGCGCGCCAGGCGTGCGCCGCGGTTGCGCGGGAGGCGCGAGGTCGGCGGCCGCGTGCCTCGCTCGCTGAGCGTGCGCGTGGCACCTGGGCTGGCGACGAGCTTGCCGAGGTCTGGCGCAGGGTGCTGCGCGCCCTTGCTGCCCAATGGCGACATCTTGATCGTTGCGTCCATGCAGTTCTCGACTCCCAGCTTTTGTTGTGCGTGGTCCGTGTCGGAGTTGCTCGTTGCGAGTGGTTGTGGCTTAGAAAGCCGTGTGAGGGGTCGGCGCTCTGCGTATGTAGGCCGTGTAAATGTTCCAACACTCGGTGGCGTGGTCCAGGGCTCGACAAGGCTTGTCAAGGCTGGTGACTCTACTTTGTCATGCCACCATCAACACAGCACGAAGAAATCTAGTGTACAATTGCCATGTAGATGGGCTTCATTCAATTCAAAACAATTATACAACCAAATTCTTGATCTACGGCAGATCGCGCTTGATCAAGATCTCAACATCACTGTAGTTTGGCTGTAGAACCACACAATTTATAGCCATGCACGGGCGGCCACGGGAGGCGAAGCACAAGCTCAAGGACCCCAAGGCAGCAGAAGGCTACAAGAAGAAGGCGCGCGCCGGTGCATGCATTGCACGGCGTGTGTGGGGACCGCGCAGTCGCCTCTGCTGCACACGGCGCATGCTGTCGCCCTGTTCTTACAACCTTTCAAAAATCGTGCCGCTCTCAGGTCGAGGCGATACGGCAGGGCACGGCGCTGGTGCTGGAGTGCCGGCGCCTGCGGCGGTACGACGCCCCCGCGCTCGCGGCGGCGGCAAAGCTGCTGAAAGTGGTGCCAGAGGTGTGCGGCGCGTACATTAGCAAGTAGCCGTCCGGGCGCGGCAGCAGATTGTGCGCACAGGGATCCCCTCCAAGCTGCAGCTGCCATCCCACCGGATGCCGCAGGGGGCGCCGCCACAGGCTGGGGGGCACCCCGCGCCCCCCATCGGCGCGCGCTCCCCGCGCCCCGTGCCCGCGTCTGCCCCGGGGCCCTGCCAGCAGCGCTGCCTGCGCGCCTCAAGACAGCAGCCCGCAGCAGCGCGGCTCCCACAGACGCGAACCCCCCGGCGCCATGCCGTGGCCGCCTGGTGCAACGGCTGTGCAACCGGCGTGCTCAACCGCCAACCGTCAGATCTACACGGTCTGGAACTACAGGCGGGAGGCTCTGGAGCCAGTTTTTGAGGCTGGCGGCGAGGCGGCGCAAAAGGCATCCAATGAGGAGCTGGCACTCACACAGGTGCGGTTGGCGGTTGGCGGCGGGTGGTGGCGGTTGGAAACGGCGGTTGACGGCGGCGGGCGTGCCTATGAGCGGCGGCTCTGGTTTGTCGGGTCGAGAGCGCGGGGCTGGGGGGCCCAGCGTTGACAAGCGCGCGGGATGAGCAGCGGGGGCGGCGGCAGGTCTGTGGGCACGCGCCGGGCGGCTCATGACGGGCTGCGGCCGTCCCCGCCCTCAGACCCCACCACCTGTGCTGGCCGCAGGAGGTCGGAAGGGAGGGTACCAAACAATGGGAGGGCACGGGTACGGCGCAAGGACCGTCCTGCATTCGTGCACGCGCCGAGCCCGATCAGGATTTGAACGCCGCCCCCCGCACAACAAATCCTCGCGCCCAGGCGTGCCTGTTGGAGAACCCGAAGTCGTATGCCGCGTGGCACCACCGCAAATGGACGGTTTTGAAGGGCCTGGCAGACCTGGGGGCGGAGCTGAAGCTGGTGGGAAGGTGCGGGGGCGAGATCTGGATCTCGTGGCCGCCATCCGGGCGCGCCGACGCGCAGGGGCTGTGGGAGGGTTTGTTGTGGGCTGCAGCTGCGCGCCTCAGCGCGTCCCCGAGACGTGGGCGGCATGAAGACCCCGCCGGCCCGCCCTGCTGCCCACGTGCATCGTCCCCGGCTCTATCTCTCTCGCCGCAGCGCGCTGGAGCAGGACGGGCGCAACTTCCACGCGTGGGCGTACCGGCAGTTCATCGTGAAGCTCTCGGCGCCAAAGGTGGGAACTCCGCGCCGGCCCAGGCGGCGCGATCCCGATAGTTGCTGCTGCATAGTGCTGTGTGCCGCACCACCATTGCCGTTGGCTGCTTGTGCCAAGCTCCATAGGCACGGCGCGTGTAGCTCAGAGCCACGCCCAGCCATTTGGAGGTGCACACCCCCGTTGAGGGTTGGCACCGCCCCAAGCACACAAACTCCTGCGCCTGCTCACCGGTCGGGACGCGGTTCCCATGTTACGCTACGACTGCCGGGTTGCGCCTGCCGGGTCACGTCTCCCGGGTTACGCCTGCTGGTTACGCCCGCCGGGTCACGCATGCCGCCACACAAACAGGTCACCACGGAGGACGAGCTAGCCTACGCCGGCGGCTGCATCGCCGCGGACTTTTCCAACTACTCTGCGTGGCACTACCGCACCATCCTGCTGCACAAGCTGTACGCAGAGGAGGTGCAGACGGGTGGGCGCCAGGGTTGAGGGTTGAGGGTTCAGGGTTTAGGGTTTTACGGGCCCCAGAGATACGCAAGCCCGGTTGGGCGGCGGCGACCGGGCGGTGGCGCAATTTGTGCATCACCAGCCGACGCTGTGTTGGATATTGGCATGAAGGCCTTGTGGTGCTGGCTGTTTGGGTTTTAGTTTGATTGTGGTGCGGGACAGCCGTGCGGCGTGCGTGTGATGGAAGGGGGAAGGAGGAGGGTGCCAGGTCGTGTCGGAGCAGCAGCCACCATGTGCATGGCGTGCGTGCCACCGCCTCGTCGTCCGCGCCGCCCCTCATTTTGACAGTCTCCTTTGAAGACCTCATCGCTGGTAGAGGCCCCACCAGCAGCAGCAGCAGCGGCGGCGGCGGCGGCGGCGGAGGAGGAGGAGGAGGAGGAGAGGGTGGAGGGGCCGCGCCCGGCGTGCGGGGCGCGTTCAGCGGCACCGCGGCGCAGCGGCGGCCGATCCCGGCGCACGTTTTGGACCAGGAGTACGATCTGGTGCACCAGGTGGGTGGCGGCACGATCTGACTGTTACATACATGAACATTGAATATGCATGTTTCTTGATGTGTGTGAATGTGTATTTTCGGGCTGACAAGATTGGTCAATGGCATCGGCTCGGGGGCGGGCCAGAGCTATATTGCCCACCGGGGCGCCGGGCTGCGCTCACGCCGTGGCGCCGTGCCCTCGGCCTCGCGCCGTGCCCTCGCAACCCAACCTGCATCATGCCACACAACCCTGCCCCATCTCACCCTACCCTCTCATACCCCACCCATTGCATCCTGCCCTATTCTATCCCATCCTATCCCCAGGCGTTTGCGACAGACGCGGCGGACCAGAGCCCCTGGATGTACTACCGCTGGCTGCTGGGCAACAGCCTGGCGGCCCTGGAGGGGGCGCGCGCCATGCCTGAGGGCCCGGCGCGGGAGAGGGCGGTGGAGGAGGCGGCGCTCGTGTTAGACGAGGTGATGCTTTG